AATAGGAGTCTTCCACCTCCTTGCTGCATGTTGGCCATTGCCTTGTATAAGAAACTCCTCTGCCCTTTGCCAACCCTCTTCAAGTTGTTTTACCTTCTCCTAGACTAGTTGCCAACCAAGACTATAGGGTCCAGTCTGTCCTGCTATTAAATCCATGGCTGGGAGGGAGAAGAGATGGTTACATACCTTTCTCAAGGCTATTTGTACATAAGTGAATGTAACAAAAGCAGCTAGAATTTGAACTCTGCTCTCCCACTTCTAATTCCTGGCCACTATCCATTTCACCACCTGCACATCCAAGCTTACTGATAAGACAGCCATATTGCATTGAAATGCCACTTGTTATGTGTGTATTAGCAAAGAACTATGATAAAGTGGAAAACTTATTGTGTGACGCATTTCATCCTGTGATAACAGAAGATCTGCCACGAAAGGTGAAATGCTGTAAGAACCTGGATATAAATTTACTGTGGATGATCTAGCAATTAAAGCACTTTCTATATATTTTCATCTTAGTAAATTCCTTCCTCTTTTAACTAGAGTGACATTTTTTAAAATCAAAATTATGATCAATCTCATGAGCAACTTAATGCCTTTAGTGTGTTGTTTTGTAAAAGATTCATTTTGTGTTCATATATAATCTTTTATTTGAATTCCTCAAAGTTTTTCCTCTGTATTCCTTGTGATAATTATTTCAGTTGATAGAATAAATTCCTCCAAATTTTAGATTATTATTTTGTTTTTTATTAAGTCTTTTATTGTTTTTGAGGTAGTTGTAAGCTTAAGTAAATTCTTTTCAATTGTAGTTTTGATAGTCGGTGCAAAAGGACAAAACATGTTACACAAAAAATTTCCACCTGTCATAATTTTTTTCCCTAAAATTGTTCTTTATAGATAAAAACTTATATATCATTTTCCCATACACGCTAACCATATAAAGTATTCCAGGTGTACCTTACTGTTTTGACTTTCATATCTGGTGGGATTTTTAGATGGTGCTGGTGTTTAAGATTTTTGTTTTAGTGATTTCTGGTAATTCTATCAGTTCCATGTTATTCTTCTATTCAGTCAATAACACTCTCCCATTTGCTCACTTACAATGTGCTTCTATTGTAAAATAATTTATTCTTATAGTAAAATTATTTACTTTATACATACAATATAATAATCGATTATTGTCAGTTTGTCAGGAATTAAAGCAAACATTACTAACAATCCCTTTTCTTCCTGATTGTCAATGCCCCAGTTTTTCAGCTCAAAACTTGTTAAAACAATTTGTAGTTAAAAAAAAAAAAAAAATTTCTAAATTTAAGGCTCAGTCAAACATTTCCTCTTCCAACCACCCATCATAAATATTTAGTTCTGTGGGAAATGGTTAAAACAAAGCAGGGGGATGGAGTAGTGGTCAAGTCAGTGGGCAGCTATAAGAAAAAAAAAGTCAAAACCCTACCAACATGTCCAAATGTTGTCTTTAAAATACAGCTGCAATTCTTATTTATTCTTTTCTACCCCTTGAATTTATTATGTAATCATTAGATTGAATTAGTTTAGAGTATTTATTTTATAAATTCTGCCCATATTATCACAGGCTGCATAAACAACTCATTAATAAAAGAACAAAAAAAACCCCAAAAAGCCACACAGAACGGCAATAACTGTTAAAATCTTTATTCTATATCCCTTTGCATTGACTGTGGCCTTGCAAATATTATCTTTTTTTAATCATGTCAGTGTATTTTGACTTAAAATTCCTACACTTTATAATATATATATATATATATATATATATATATATATATATAAGGCTTAAAACACTAATATGGAATATTAGTGTTTAAGCCTTTTTATTATATCCTTACTCTGTCCTGGACATTGAGTTCTACCTGGATTCTATCCACTTAGAATTTTTATTAAAAAAATATACATGTATGTGTATGCACCTATGTATATATATTTATATATTTTGCATATGTATGTGTATATTTACCACTAATATATATATATAATTTTATTTATCAGAAGAAAAATAATTTTTGTATATTGATAGTTCTTTGCGTCTTTTTTTTATGTATAAAAATTAGTTTTTTTAATTCGTTTTAAATGCTCCTCTTTTCACTAGTAGCATCAATAGTTGGTATCTCCAAAGATTTTCTAAAAAAAAAAAAACACCATACCATTATGAAAAAAGGCCTCAAACTTGATAAAAACAAGGTTTTATTGTCAAAATGTTTATTATCAAGAGGAAACACCAAAGTATTTTTGATTATTTCATTAATTTTTTTAATCCTTTCTAGCACATTTGAAATTTTGGTTAAAAATGTTTTCAGTGGTTGGGCCAAAGATTATTATTGGAAATTTTAGCATCTTTTTTGGGTGTTAAAAGCACATTGTTTTAGAAATTCTTGGAAAAATCAAATAATTGTCAGATTTTAATGGAATTTGCAGGACTTCTTCACAATTGAATTAAATTATTCTTTTTCACATCTGTTACCCCCATTTACTTATGAAATTCCAAGAAATTAAAATTATCAGCCTCTTCATATTTCTATTAGTTAAAAGCAGGACTCCTTGAAGAATTTAAATCATCAATTTGTTTTTGTCAAACAGAAACACCATTTACCGAAAATCTGCTCCAAAAAATAAGATAACAAATGCAATAAAACTAAGACATTATTTAATTAAAAAAAGCTTATAATTGTTTTTATAAATAAGATGTATTAAGGACACTATTGTCTTAAGAAAAAAGTTTTTTGATGAATAATGAATTTTTACAAGAATTTTTTTCATTTTTTAAAATTTTAATTAGAAATATTAAGTTTTAAATCTTTTAAAATTCTGTATTAATTTCCGCCTTTTAGATAATGTTATTAAGTGAAAAGTATATTTAATAATCATAAATGGAAAAGCTTAATAAAAATCATAAAACACGATATTTTTAAAAGAATTTTGAATTTTTTTTGTAAATGCATAAATGTGGTGTGACTTTGTAAATATGGGCCACCATTCACAGCATTATCAGAAAATAAAAGTGATTAACAATAGTAAATCCAAACCAACATTTCTAAAATTCATTAAACTATTAGGTTACAGAGAATATTTCTCTAAATTTTTAAGTTTACTGAGTACTTAATTAAAAGAAAATGATGTGATCACTTTTGTTATATGATTGTTTTACAGATCGTCTCCTTAGAACAATATTAGATCTGCTATCAGGCTGTCAGTACATCAATACAACTACATTAAACAATGCATTTCTGCAATATTTAAATTTAAAGTAAATAATATTTGTTTCAAATCAGATTAATTATACTTTAAATCAGCTCATATTCCACAAATAAAGTTTCAGAAAAGTATATTTTATTTTTGGAAGACTTTTTTTTTAATAAAGAGTTACATTGCAATGAAAAACAAGTTAAAAAAAAAAAAAGATACTAATTAGTTATTTTAACAAGAAACATCTCCCAGTCCATTTAAATTAATTTTTTGAAATACAGCAAAATTTTGCTTATGTGAAATATCAAATTTAATCTATTAGCTTAAAATTAATAGTAAAAAAAGCTTCAAAAAAGATTTTTAATTTTTATAAATTAATTTTAAACCTTAGGTATCTTGTTTTAATCAATAAGTGATTAAGAAACTGATATTATTAATTTGAATTTCAACATTTCAAATCATCGTCAGCTATTAGTAATTGTTTAAGTTAATTAATTTATTTATTTTATAAATCATTTTTTTTATTTTCTTTTTATTCCGAATATTTTCGATCTTGTAACAGCTTGAAAACTAAATTGAAATGGTAATACAGAAAAGGATTTGATTTCATATCAAATTGGATATTTTTCTTTTCTTTTTACAACTTTGTTTTCATTACCTCTTCATAATTGTTTATTTTGTATGACCCATAAAGTCGTTACTGTGCCTGAAAAAAATATTCATATTTCTTGTAGGTAACAAAAACGTTTCTCTGAAATACTAAATAAGTTTAACAAAAATGGTTTGTACTTTTTCCAAAACTCTTCCTTTTTTTTTTTTTTTTTTTTTTTGTTCTTAGTTTAGTGGCAGTGAATTCTGTTTTTCTTATTTTGATGATGATTCGTTTTCAACCTTTTCTTTTTTCTCTTTTATTTCTTCAGGCTGCTCTTGTGTATGTATACAACTTTTAATAAACTTGTTTGAGCTTTATTTGTGTACAATATAACAGCGATTTATTTAGTTTTCTTTATGACTAACAAAATACTGTAAGTGTGTTAATAATACCAGTTTTTTGATACTGTCTCTTGCTTTTTGATTTTTCCATATCCTCACTCCTTTCCTTTTAGCTACAGCAAAAATTCATAGAAAACAAAAGCACTTAATAAGAGTCAAATTGAAAAAATGGTGAAAAGTGTTCTCTTCTAAATAGAATAATTAATGACAATTTAATAATGTGTCATCTTAATGTAACTACTGTGCAAAAAGATTCCATCCACTTTCAGAAAGATGGTCTTTGGAAGTTGCAGTTTATTTCCAAATTTCTTCTCGTTTTATTTAAATCCAACTGCATGTTTTTTTGTTTTTTTTTTTATGACCATTATTTTTCCCAACAAATTTGATTATTATTAATTCCATCACAAATTTTCAAATAAAACCAATTTTTTGCAATTTAAAGCATGATTTTCAAAAAAAAAAAAATCTAATATATTTTTTTGTGAGTGTGTGTGTCTGTGTTTTTTTTTGTTCTGGAGTGACATTTTTTTTTGTCGTTTTTTTCTCACCCAAACCAAGTGTAAGTAGCTATAATATTAGGATGACTAATTAACTAGAGTTTCTATTACAAGTGTGTGTCTGTCTGTCTGTCTCAGTATTTAGTACTGGTTGGGTTGATACTTTACGTTCTGTGTGTCTGTCTGTCTGTGGATGCTACAGGATTGCTATGTTTGTGGTAGAAGAAGACACATAAGTTAAAAGTTGTTTATGTCTCTGATCTCTCCTTCCTGACTGTGGGAAAGGATCCCCCCCATATGCCTCTCTTTCTCTCTCTCTCTCTCTCTCTCTCTCCCAGCCCCACACTCACCACCAACCACTCATCTGCTACCCACCTTGCCTCACAGACAACCTTTTTCTGTCTTTTAAAACACCTTCTCCCAGAACACTCTTGCTGTAGACAAAGATTCTCTTTAACCTCAACTTTTGTGCCTCCCAACAATTTTGGGTCTAAGTAAGACATCCATCCGATCGGAAAAGGACTTTTTTTTTTTTTTTTTTTTTTTTTTTTTTTTTTTTTTTTTTTTTTTTTTACTTTTTCTTTGAGACCAAGAAATGATTTTGTTTTCAAAAGAAATTCTCAATTAGTTTTTCTTCAGAATAAATTGATTATCTAATAATGATTGCCCTTCCCCAACCCTCTTCCCATTCCATATACTCCTTTTCTTACTCTCACAAACACACAGGAGATCCCAATTATGGACACTTTCTGTATTTATTGGCTAACGAATTGCATACATTTTATACGAAAAAAAGAATGATTATTTTAAAAGAAAAAAAATATATATATATATATATATATATTTAAACAGTGGCTGTAAGGACCTAATTATTGGTGGTGGTACACGACTGCGTAAACTATTATTTTCTTAACAACTTTACATGGTTAAAATTAATGGATTCAGAATCTGTAGACTCATCTTGATATTGGAATCATGGAGATGATATATTTTTCTAACATTAATTTTATACAATATTATTATTATTTTTATATCTGTAGAGAAAAAAAAATCACCTACCTTAATTTTTCTGTTCTCTTTACAAAAAGAAAGTATTAGTTTCCATTTAAGATCTAATTTAAACAGATTTATCATTTTTAAAATTTTGCAGAAATTTAAATCAAATGTTTAAAAGTGGTTAATTTATTTTAATTTATTCCCCCCCCACTCTCTCACTCTATTTGTTAATGCTTATTGATTTGCTTTTTGAAATGGAATAATCAAGACAGTCAATTTGAGAAAAAGAAACTTTTTTCTTTTTTTTTTTTTTTTTTTCTTTTTCAGAAGCATGTTATTTCTGTCTAAAGAAATATTTTCACAATAAAACATTTCTTGCAAATAATGTTTTGTCTAATCAAAAACTACCAACTCCATCCCCAACTATTTCACAGATTTTGTTTGTTTAAAATTTAGGTGAACTCCAAAAATGGGTTCAAATAAAATTTGGGCCTGAAATTTTAACCCAGAGGAGTTTTTACTTTTTTTTAGTCCTGTCGACTTGCTCATCTATTTCTTTGTAGTTATATATAATGATATTCACTTATTTCGTGGGAAGATTGTATCTTGGAAGTATTGCAGATTTTACACAAATATCTATTTTTACTTGTCAGAAAATATTGTCTGACCACCTTAGCTCTCGGTTATTTGTTAATATCAACATCAGATCATAAATGATTTGATTATATTTCAGTTATTGATGTTTCCAACATCACTTACAAGTGAAGAAGCTATTTCATGAGTTTATTTTGTCTCAGGTGGAATAAGTTAGTTTTATGGTATTTGTTCTTCAATGTACCATCTCACATAGTTTATTATTACTTTTTTAAGCATTGGTAACTATATTTTTTATTCAAGTTTATTTTTGTTAAGCTAAAATACATTAGTCAAACGTAAAGAATTTGTTTCAAAGAAAATTGTCACACCGGATGACAATTCTATTTCTTACCTTACATTTTTATTTTATATTTAATCTAAACTTTAATTTTCAACTTCCTGCTTGTAATGAGATGTGAAGTGTAAGTGATTATTTACTTTGTTCACTGCCTAAACTTTCTCTCTCTCTCTCTCTTTCCTTCCTTCCGTGCCCCATCCCCGGGGGGGGGGGAGTAAGATAGCATCCTCTTGCTACCTCTTCATCTATCCCCAGCTAGATTTCCTCATCAGGCTGATGTGAGTCACAATAATGAAACAAAAATTCTAATAATTATTACAACTATTATTATTACTATTATTAGTAGTAATAATTGGTTCTCATAAATTACAGAAGGCATTCATGTTATTGCTTATCAACTTTTTAATTTTTCTGTAAAGTTTCATCGAAACCTTTTGTGTTTTCTGAGATTACTATACAGAATGCTGAAAAGGTTTGTAATTGATTTAATTGAAATATCTGTCTTTAAAATATCTTTAAAAAAAAAAAAGTTGGGGTGTTCATTTACAAGACCTAAATTGCTATCAGGTGTGACAATGGCAGGTAGATGTTAAAGGACACCCTTGGTTTACTAAATGAACAGAAACATTTAAACCCATGTAGACCATAAGAACTTGATTGAAAAGTTATTTCACCCAAATTCTTCTTGAAATTCTTCTGATTCCTCTTAAATTTTAAACAGAAATGACAGTGTAGAGTGCATCCTGGGTAAGACAATAAACAACGTTCAACAGTAAAGCATCTGAGCAGGAAGTTTTGAGGAGCATGGAACCACCTTTTAACTGCTGTTGTTCCCAGATCCACCCTGACTTGGGGTGGTAGCACCTGTTAGGGTCTCATCTCTGGGCAAATAGCTAACCTCCACCAAAATGATGTCAAAACACTATGAAAGTGTTAAAAAAAAAAAAAAAAAAAAAAAAAAAAAATAGGTTTTAATGCCAGCAACAAAGTTTTTGAGAAAAAATTATTACTAGCAACACATTTTTGGGAAAGAAAAAAATATTACCAACAATTCGTTTTTGGAAAAAATATTACTAGCAAAAAAAATCTTGTCGGCATTAAATAACCTATTGAGGTTGATATGCTGTAAAATAAAACCAAACAATGTAAATTTAAATTGAAATAATTTTTATGGATAAGAGGCAAAATGTTTGTTTTTTTTTTTTTTACAATAATAATGTAAATAAAAAAAAATGTGTGTATGTGTGTATGTATGTGTGTATGTGTGTATGTATGTATGTATGTATGTGTGTGTATGTATGTATGTGTGTGTGTATGTGTGTGTGTGTATGTATGTGTGTGTGTGTGTGTATATTTTGTTTGCCGTTATTAATTTTTTGACAAGAATTTCTTTCGTTTAAATTTAACTTCTTTCTTGTCAAAAGTTCCTACTATCTTTATTCAGAACTGTAATTACAAAGACAGTTTGCCTCGAAAGTTTAGTTTTTTTTTTTTACAATCAGTAAAGATAATACCCTCCTCTGCCAAAGCTTAAATCTTTTCTCATAATCCTTATCTTGATTCTTTATACTATTTTTTTTGGCGGGGGGGATATCAAACCATGAAATAAACTGAGCATATGGGTGGGAATAAGTAAATAAGAAGCCAACATTTTAGGAAAGTTTTTAAATTAAAAATGACTAAACTGTAACAAATGTTAATAAAGGAGACATTAATACTAATCTAGTGTAAAATCTTCATTGTCTTCTCTCACCAAAAACTGTTCCTAACTTTAATAGTTGTTGGGTTGTTTTTTGGGTTTTTTTTTTTTTGTTTTTTCACTCTAGTTGTGAAACATTTCACCTTTGACTTCCACAATTAACATTCACATTTCATGACCCATGTTTTCCACTGAAGGAAAAATGTTAAAATGCAGTTGACTTGAGGTTTTTCCCTTGCCCTAATTGCTGAATTGTATACAAACTTGCACATCCCATCCAATTTGGTTTTAAATCAGAACTGAATTCTTTGTAAAGTCCAAACTTATATTTCTCATAGTAACAAAAAGTATTACCGTTTTCTCTTTGACATTATCAGTACACAAACTGGAAGAACTGAAATTTTTCCCTTTAGTTTGGCTTGTACAATTATTATAAGTATTGGTTCCACAATGAAAATGCTGAATGCAGAGTTCTTGCATAAATAGTGGTTCTTTGTATTCTGACAAAGAAAGATATCATCTTCCATGAAATTTAAAATCAAGCTTTGTTTCATAATTGCACTGAAAGAAAACAGAATTAATTCTGGGCAACAATTCAACTCGTTAACTTGAATTTTCTTGTGTTGTATAAATTAATTTTGCAAAATGTTTTTTTCATTTTGATAATGTTGTCCCGGTTGCCAAGTAAATAAGAGCTAATTCAGTATTGCCCTCCATGACAACACAGGTGTGGAAACAAACAAAAAACATTAGATAAATGAGAGATAAAAAGCAAAGACTCAGTTTGCTCAAAATAAAAAGAAAAACAACAATTTGATTATTATTCATTGGCTCTTCTCCACAAAACCCAGGAGCGTTGTTAGTTTAAAAATAAGCCTATCTTTATTTTTGAAAATTCTTCCTTTTTTAAACAAAGGAACAAACTCTAGAGAACATCTTTGTAAGGCAATCAACATTTGATTAATAAACAAGAAGGGAAATTTCATTATTTACTTCATTGCCAGAGGGGCTGCCAAAATGATCACTAAGTGGTTGCTAAGATACTAATTTCAACTGACCATTCCAACTATATTAGTTCTCCACCTTTTTTTGTGAAAAATTTTAAAAAAATTTTATTTTTTTGACTGTTCATTTTATATCTAGATATTATGTACCAGAATGCTTCCTAAGTAATATCTATTCTGGGGATCATACAAAGTTTTGGGCCTTCATGACATCGGACTTTCTCTCCCATGGGCCCAGCCAAGTCATTTCTCGGCTAGCAATCTGACTTAATAGTAAAGGAAAGTGATAGAAATTAGTTTTAGTGAATGAATTAGTATTTAAAAATTCTGATCATTACCAGTGATGTTACTACCATGAAAAGAAAATGAAATTGGTAAAAAATGGAAAAAAGAAAAATAATTTCCTACAGATTCCATAGATCAAATGAGACCAGGTGTCTTTGAATTTTTTTTAAGGTGTGTATGGGGTGATTATCCCCCCCCTCCCTCTTTTATAACTCTTTATCAAAAAGATATTTTCTTTTAACTAAACAAGTATCAAATGAGATGCTTTTAGGTTATTTTATACTTCTTAAATGAGTTAGCTTTACAGTGGAATTAGTTACTTCACTACCTTCTCCTCCACCCCTAACTTCTGCATAGCATTTTTTCAGATAGTCTAGCTTCTCTTCAGGTGTGGTAGTTTGCATTTAACAGGTATTATAGTTTAATGGTAGAATCATAGTTCAATAAGAACGTTCTGCGACACCGGGTGAGATGTTTTTCCTTCTTCTTTTTTTCTCAATCTCAATCTCCCTCTCCTCTCCCCCCCCTCTCTATTCTCCCCCCATCTCTCTCCCCCCTCCTCCCCCCTCCTCCTCCTCTCGTTCTCCCCTCTCCCCTCTCTCTCCTCCTCCTTCTCCCCCTTCTCCCCCTCTCTCTCCTCTCGTTCTCCCCCCTCTCGTTCTCCCCTCCTCCTCTCCCCCCCCTCGCCTCTCGTTCTCCCCCTCTCTCCCCCCTCTCTTCTCTCTCTCTAATAAAATTTCAAATGACTTAACTATTAGCCAACGTAGGTGCTCATCAAAGCCATATGTTTTTCTTTTTTTTTTTTTCCACCCATTACCTTTTTTCCTTTGTTTTTGCCCCCTTCTCCCTCACCAGTAATGATTCACCGGACTCTATCCTTCTAACAAACCAAGACTCATGTGTTAGTAGTATATAAAAAAAATCATGATAGGTCATATCACTCTACTCTGACATCATTGAAATGCTAAACCCTATATCAGTTATGCCCTGACATCTGGTGAGTCGGTGTTAATGCTCACTAGGCTGCTCTTGGCAAGGCAACATGACATATTAGAATTTTAACAGGGTATAATAGTGGCTACTAGAGTGATGAGACATTCCATTGTTGGGACATCTTGCATCCTTTGATCTATGATGTCACATGTAGTGGGAATACCTGACAGAAAGCATTACTATCCACGCTAGACAGTGCAGTGACCAACTGCAAGTCCTTAATGATCAGGGGCATCTAATTAAAATTGTCTGTGGTAACTGACACTGGCTTAAATCACATCCATATTCAATGCAATTATTTGTTCCTTAGTTTGTATAAGATATAGGAACAGAAAATGCTCCACCAGGTTCCTTTGTTAAAAACTTTGGACACATCAATTCACCTGGCCTTGTGTCATCAATAACAGGACCTCCAAGAGGATTGGTAATGTGCAGTGTGATTAGATGATTCATGGTCACGGTTTTTTACAGTGATGATAGGGTTTAAGGGTGACACAGATCTCATGAGGCCATGCATCCCGGTTGTCAACGAGGCACTGTGCAGAATGATATAGAGAGTGTTCACATGGTATGGGTCCGCTTGGTCTGCTGGTCCACCCAAACAGCATTGACTAGTTACCACTGTTGATCTGCCTCATGACTATTTTCACTCCATTCATTGACTTCATGTACCCCAACAATGAGGGGCTTAATTCCGTCAGGATAATGCAACAGGTCATCCAAGTTACCCAAAATTGGTTTGAGGAACGGCCAACAAATGGTGTGGCTACCAGGTTCACTAGACATGATCCCAATCAAGTATTTATTGGATGCAGTAAGGAGAACTCTTTGCACACAAGATAATAAATCTTAAACTATTATGGAACTTTGTTCAGGTATGCAGACTCAACTTCTCTCCAGACATCTTCCAACCACTTGTAGAATTAATGCCGCTTTGTGTTGCTGTATTTCACCAGGCCAAAGAGAATCCTACATGATACTTGGTACCTATCCCATGAGTTTTTTTTTAACACAGCAATGTATGCTCTTTCTCTCTCACCTTAACAAAAAAAAATGGGGGTAAGGGAAAAACACTAGTTATTTAGGTAGTGTTTATTAGGGATACGTTAGTGACTCTAGAGAGAGAGAGGAGGAAAAGGGAGGGCGAAAGAGAAGAAAGGTGAAGAATAGAAGGAGTGGGTCGACTTCACCTCTGTAGAAAGTATCACCACCACTGTTTGTATCCTGAAGGTGGGCTGATGGGAGAGGGATCAACAGGCATGTTAGAGACTATGTTCTGGCTACTACCACTGCATGTTACCTCATCATCATCATCACCTCTCCCCCATTTCTACTTTTCCTTCGCCTTTACCCACTTTTTTTTTTTTTTTTTTTTTTTTTCACGCTGCTACTGATGGTATCCCTATCGCGACTCTGTTAAACCAGCCAAAGCCTGTAGGGTCGGGCATTGCTCACTAGTGCCAATCCCTAGAAAAGTATTTTTGTTTTGTTTTTCAAAGTTGGCACCTTACTGAGACTCACTGTTCATAAAACCCTTTTCGAAGATCCAGCTCTTTCTTTATGTTCCTTTGTTTTTACTTAAAACTTAATTCACTTTTTCCCTATTTAGCCGGCTCCTTTTTAAGGGAAATTTAGTTTGGTTTTTCTCTTCCTTATCTATTTTTCCATTTTTTTCCCCTTTTTCTTTCTTAAGTTCAATTTAATGTGAATATTTAAATATTTCTCGTTAAAAACAAATATGCTAAAAAAGAGACAGGAATTTAAATCGTTGTTTTTTCAAAATATTTTTTAATCATATCTAATTCAAAAAATACATTACCTTTCTTTATAAATTATTCCGACCACCGTAACACCCCGCAAAAAAACATTTTAATTTAAAATTTAAAAAAAAAAAAAAAATAATCATAATGTTGATTTGCGTCTAACGTTTCTTAGCAAGTTTTCATTTTTCACCTCAGCGATACGCCCTTCTTGTCACTGACATGAAACCTGAGTTTTTTTGTAGGGCCTTTTTGATCTGTCATAAAATATAAAAAATGTGGAAATAAGAATAAATTCTAATAATTCCTTGGAGACAAAATGACCCTGAAAACAATTCAAGATGATCTTGAGCTGCAATGGATTCAATTTCTTGTTCATTCAGAAAAGAAACATGATACAAGTACCACCAGCAACAACAACAACAACTCGAGTACAACCAACAACAATGCCAAGAAAGCCGAACCATTATCAGCAAACAGTGGTAACAATAATAATAATAATAACAACACAGCCGCGGTGGACGAGAAACTGCAGGAGTACCTGAACCGAAGTGATACTGCTGTCATTTTTCCACAGCCTGTAAGCGATCAGGATGATGATGACACCGGAGGTAAGAAGCCTTTCTTTTGATGATGACTATGATGATCATCGTCATTTTTGCCTTTCATCATATCTCTCTCTCTCTCTCTCTCTCGTGTATGTGTGTGTCACTATTATAAAATATAATTATAAGTTATAAAAAAAAACTTTTCCTACTTTTCTGTTATCTACAGACTAAAAAAAAATTAGTTTGTAAATTAGTTAAGTAAAAATCGTTTTTGTTGGATGACGAGAATGGGTGACCAAAGTATATATTTTTGTTCGTTTTTTTTTTTTTTTTTTTTCTCCCTCTTCCCACTTTTCTGTTTCTTTTGTTTTACTTTTCTCAGAGGGTACGACTAGAGTTTTTTTTTTTTTTTTTTTTAAATTAATGTCTGTGCTAGATTATGAAATATAAAACAGTGTCACAATGAGATTAATAAATTTTTTTAAAAATTAAAATAAAAAAGTGTCCCCAAATTCCCAGAATTAATCGGTTTTTCGTGATATATGATCGATTCTCCAGTTGTCAACGTCGCTAAAGTTCCTGTCATCTTTTCTCCCTTAAATCTTGCTGTTGTGTTGTGGCTACAGCTCTAGCAACAACAAAAAAAAACCCGTTGTTGATAAAACAACACTTGTTTATTTGTTAAGAAATAACTATTACTAATTTTTTTTTTTATCTTCTTTTGTCATCAATTTAACGTCTTTTTCTTTCTTCATCCACGTGTTCTTTTCATTCAAAAAAAAAGAACGTACACGTGAAATATTCGTCGTTTTACTTTTACGGATTGGATTCTTCATTAAAATTCCGTCTGCGCTTAACCACGTGGTAGGCATGTCATTCTTTGTTGATGTGAATTTTACAGGCTTTCTCCATAGAAGCTTTCAGTTGGAAATACTTCGTTAAAATAAAAATAATAGAATTCAATTATCGAATCAGTGCTACAGCCTCTCTTCATTTTTAATTTTAATTACCATTTTTTCTTTTTTTTTTTTTTATCTCGAGTAAAAAAAAGTTCACAAAATTACGTTTTTTTTTTTTTTTTTTTTTTTTATTTGTTAAAACACCTTTGAAGAGAAAATTTAAAAAAAGATATAATAATTTCCACTTACGCTTTGATTTTTTTTTTTTCTTAGTCTCTCCTTTTCGCCTCACTGGATTCCCTTCAAGGTTTTTGTTTTGATTGTCTACCCACCGATCACAAGGGGGGGGGCGTTTTTTTCTTAGTATTTTTAGAAGTAAAAACACTTTTCAAAGTTGAGTTCTGTTAAAAACGCTGCTGTTTTCAGTGTTAACTTTACGTCTAGTTAAAAAAGAAAAAATTAATCAACTAATCCATTTCGTGTTTTTTTGTTGTTTTGTTTTTTAAATCCTCAAACCCAGGTGATCTTTTCTCTTAGAACCCCAACCCCCGCCTGCCCGGCCGGCCGTCCATACCTCTTCTAACACCTTAACTACTAATGTTGTGTGTTGATCTTTCAGAAAACTTTCTCCGTCTTATCACACAGGTCCTAAAACACAAATAAATAAAAAATACTTTCGGTCAAACATCAGTAAAAAGAAAATGTTTATTCCGAAGTATTCCGGGTGTATTTTTTTGGGGGGGGGTAAATTCTGATTTTTAATTATTTATTAATGAAATAAGTTAACATCTTCTAAAAAACACAAAAGAATTATATATAGATTTTAAAAAAAATACTATGCAAACCACCCCCTCCTCGTTTATCAAATATTCTTTACCTTACTTCATCCAAAATTTCAATTTTTAAAGAATTAAAAATAAAAATTTGATCAGTACTTTCTTCATGTTCTTTGTCTTGGTCGCTTAAGATTAAAAATACATCTGAAAATCCAGTTCCCCGCCTCTCTCTCTCTCTCTCTCTCGGGTGTCATTTCCACACTACTTGCCCAATTCCACTCTACTCAAATATCTCTGA